GCAGTCCCAGGTCTCTCTCCCAGCTCTCTAACTGCTTGGACTGGCAAGGAAGCAGACAAGCAGCCTCTTCACTAACTGAAAGCTTGAATTTCCCCACTTTCCCTGCCTTCCCTGCATATTAGGTATGCTAATATCTGTGCACTGGAGGATTGTGGGAGGAACATCCAGCCCCTAAAGGGGGTCCTGTGGGGCACCCCAAAACACTGAGTAGCTCTCTTGGCCTCTTTCGGGACTGGGGCTGTGCGGCACTGTTCTGATCAGGAGGTGCAGCTGAGGGTCACCATGCCTTTGGGGGACAGGGCACAGAAAGGGACAGGAGGTTCAGGGGCCATTCCAACTCATACCTGGCAGGGAGATATCATTGTTGTAAAAGTGGTTTTCCTGGGGTAAGGCTCATCTATTGCACTCTGGATGTGCCGCCCCCTGTGATTTCCCCAAATGTGGGAAAATCAACTGCCTAAGTGAGGGACTGTGTTTGTGGTTCCCCCTGTTCTTTCTAGAATTGCTCTTTCCCCTTTGGTCCTTGGCTATTTTCACTACCTGCTACCATAGGCCTGTTAGCCTTGCTGGTTTTCCAGGTGGGCTGCAGGAAGCAGATCCTGGAAAGCCAGCAGTGCAGAATGGTGAGGTCCAAACAGCAAGCAGTCTCTGGTGCTAGTTCGGAGGCCTCCCAGCATGGCAGTAGAGGGCTTCTGGGTGGTGGTGGTTGAACCCCTTTTTTACTGTATTCACTCCATAAGATGCACATACTTTCTCCCCCACTATTGGGGGGCAAGTGCGTCTTATGGAGCAAAAAATATGGTAAGTTTGAACTCCTTTTTTATTGTATTTGCTCCATAAGATACAAATACTTTCTCCCCCACTATTTGGAGGGGGAAAGTGTGTCTTATGGAGCAAAAAATACGGTAAGTTTGTCTTGCTGCTTTGGGGGGAACCCCAGTTCTGCATGGAGAATGTTCCAGGTGTCTCCAGGTAAAAGGAGCAGATAAAACGTGACAGGAAAGACTTCTGCATGGAACTCGGGAAGGCCACGGGCATCCAGAGACAAAAGCAGGGACCTAGATGGGCAAATAGTCTGATATATGGCGGCTTCTTCTATTCCTTTGTGGCCACGGATAGGACGCTGTTGCTCCTCCAGGTGTTTTCAACCACAGCTTTACTTCCCGGTGGCTGTGCTAATGCGCTGATGTGGGCTGTAGGCCAAAAGAGCAAATCTTAGAGGGCCAGAATTTCCCTATTCTGTTCTAGCCTTTTTTTCCTGTTGGCCTATTTCTTGTCTTCTGGATTCACCCTCTTGACATTTGTATTTCCAAAACATACATTCAAGTTTGACTTGCTGAAGGCGTCACGAAGACATGTAAACTGCATGCACACTGTTTAACCTTCCTTACATAACCTTCAGGTGGAGGATGCACTGATACTGATCCTTAAAAACCTGGAGAACAAGCAGACGGCCTGTTTAATGCTAGTCTGGTATGCATCTCCCATGGCCTTGGTCGTTTGGCATGAGATTTGTGCTTTGCTTCATTGGCAGTGGATGGGTGTCCCTTGGAAACCCTCGCACCCAGGGTTCTATGCCAGGCACTCTGCCACTCAGTGCTTCCTGCCTCTCCCCGCTTCTTTTCTCTCTGGCTTCCATCCTAGAGATTGACAGCTTGTCCTGAAGAAGCCTGTTCTGTGGTTGTCTTGCCCAGCCTTGGCAAAGTTTGAAGACGTGACTGTTTTGGATGACAACTCCCAGCATCCCCTGCCCACCAACACCACCAGGGGCCATGCTGGTTGGGGGATGCTGGGAATTGTTGCCCAGAGCCGCCACCTCTCCAAGGTCTGGCCTTGCCCCCTCTACCTTTGTGAAGGAAGGTGGGCCCTTGCAGGCATTCAGATTTTCTTTTAGCTTGTTCTGCCTTTCTCTGTCATAAATGGGAACCTTCCTCACTTCTCTCTGTCTGCCTCACCGCCTTCCTTTGGTTCTCCTCTTTCTGCAAAGGTCAAAGTCCCACCACTGGCCAACAGGGTGATCCTCTTGGAGAACGTGAGTCGCTTCTGGCCCGTCATACAGATCTGCATCAAGCGCTGCCGGCAGGTGAGGAGAAGGTGCCCCTTTGCCCAGAGTTGCCAGCTGGAGAGCAGCCCATTGGCAAGAGCTTCTGTATTGACTTTGCTGTGCCTCAGGACTCCTCTTTTTGGCAGAACGGCTTCACTGGAGAGGCCTGTGTCGTTCACAGGGTGGCATCGACACGCGTGTGCGTGGCCTGGAGGTCCTGGGCCCCAAGCCCACCTTTTGGCCGATCTTCAAGGAACAGCTGTGCCGGCGCACCTTCCTCTTCTACACCACCAAGGCTCACACCTGGTGCCAGGAGATCTCAGAAGATCGGGTGCAGCTGCTGCTGCTCTTCAACAGGTAAGGCCTTCCAGACGGGCCTCCCTTCCCTTTTCTCTGCGGCTGCAGGTAGGAAAGTGAAGCGGTGGCTGGGGAAGAGGGGTCTTGTTGGCAAGGGACAAACCAAGGATGATGGGGAAGCTTCCTGTTGGAGGGACAAGCCGCGGAGCCCCCCACTCCTGCGTCTCGAGAGATCCACCTTCCTCTTGGTGGTCCTCTCTGCCCTCCAAGGGCCTGCCCTGCCTTGC